GGCCACCAAACACCAAAATCACTTTTTTTCCTACTGATTATCTGTATAAATGGGTCTAAAATAGAAGTGTACACCTATTGCTGGCCTTATTTTGGCATTTTAGGGCATATTTCTTAAAAACCTGACTTTTGGGTCAAAGCCATGTCTGTAACGGCCTCAACTACAGCCAGGACATTTGAAGTTTTGGGTTGGACTATCAACCTCCAATAAGTCAGATGCAAGGCTATAGGCTCTATTTATGGTTATGTCACAAACCAGGAAGACGTTTGGAAACACGCAATTACAACTTCCGGTGTAGTTACCGACACTGGGCTCGTTTAACATGGATCTGTTAAACATGGCTGTGATCAAACCCACTGAAGTAAATGTGATCAGTGTTAAAATGAAGACTGCAGATATATGCGCTGTTTGGAATCATCTTGAATTTGGCACCTCATCTCTTCTAATCGCATGTTCCCAGTGCGCTTGGAGTTGTGTGTCAGTGGGGAAATGATGAAAACTGAGGTATGGTTGGAATTGTTGACTAGCCGAATATAACAGAACACTACAATGACGTGGAGATGAAGAAAACTGGGTCCGGGAAGTCGCATTTTCCCGAATGTCTTCCTGGTTTGTGTCATAAGCGTGAATAGAGCCTATTAGAAGAGATGAGACACCAAATTCCAGATGTTTCCAAAGAGCACATACATGGAGTCTTCATTTTACCGCTGATCACATTTACTTCAGTGGGTTTGTCGATTCATGTTCGGCGACCCCATTGTCGGTAAATTGTAATTGCATCTTTCAAATGAATAGAGCCTATTACGCGTCTACTGGCAGTACATGACGAGTCCCTCTCAGCCCCGCCCCTTCTTGGCACCGCCGTGTCTGGAGAAAAGACAAATGCCGTGATTTGAGCGCAAACGTCCGCTCTATTTCAAAATCCACGCTGCTGTAGCTGTTAGTCAGCTGCCAATCATCGCTCCAAACCCTGCCCCACACCCGCTAACCCCCCAAACCATCGCCAACTCGCTGGATTTGTCGATATCTACTGAACAAAAAGGTAAAAGGTAGCTGTTAAACTTGAAAACTACAGCTTCATGACATCACAAAGTGAAACAGAGCATTTATAGCTTTGAAGATGTAGACAAAACACAACTCCGGGTCTGTTTTTGAGGAGGTAACAGCCTTCTAACATGAGAAAAGCTCACATAAACCAAAGAATTAAAGATTCTTCATGTATTCTTCATTGAAACAGAGCAAAGGATCATGGTCTGTGTAGTTCTCTTTCTGTTCTGTTTTGTTGCTGCACCATAACGGGTTTCTCCACCTATTCCGACATCGCTTCATTATACCATATCTCTAATTAGAAGTGCCGGTTTTCCGACACTTTTTAGTATTGCTATTCCGACACGTCATACATGTTGTTCTCCACAGATTGCCTACATCCGTTTTAGATACAGTAGTTTCCCGTAGGCTGGCCTATGCTCATTTTTAAAATGCATGTTTCCCACGACGACCAGTTAGGACATTTTTCCACTGTCTGATATCCTGTGGACGAAGTATTCTTTGATCAATGATATATTTCTTTGACCCATTCATATTATTCATGTTGGAAAAGCGGAATGTTGGAAAAATAGTTAAGTGCCGCTACTCCGACAATGAAAAAAAAAAAAGTAAAAGTAGTGGGACGCTTGAAAAATAACATTTATGCCTCTACTCCAACAATTAGACGTCAATGTCTAAATACCGGCATGTGCATACAAACTTGTAATTCGGTATATTCTGACTAGGGGTACGATACGATATCGTCATGGTATGAACGTCACGGTGCGATATTTATTGCGATATCGTGGGAAAGCTCATGATATGGTGGGGAGGCTCACGATTAGGGATGTAATGATATCGAAATCTCTGAGTACGATATTTTCACGATATGCATCTCACTGGGTTGTCGTAGCTGTTACTCGGCTGTCAATCATCGCTCCAAACCCCGCCCCACACCCCCCTCCCCACCAACCCGCCGCCAACTCCGTTCACCTCCACTAGAATCATTTAGATCATTCGTTTGAGCACTGGATTTGTCGATATCTACTAAACAAAAATGTAAAAGGTTGAACTTGAAAACTACCGCTTCATGACATCACAAAGTGGAACAGAGCATTTATAGCTTTGAAGATGTAGACAAAACACAACTCCGGGTCTGTTTTTGAGGAGGTAACTGTATTCTAACATGGCAAAAGCTGACAGATGCCAATTTTGCGTAACAAAGGACCTTTAAAGATCTATTATGTAACCTTTCTGGAGGGTGGAGGGTCTGCCACTTCCTTTCTCCCACTGCTTTGCCAGAATAATTTAGTGCTGCATTGATTTTTCTTGCTTTTAACACTTTCATATCTTCGATCTACAAATGTTTGACAGTCTCGCGTTACGATCCAGTGTTTGGTATTATGATTGATGTGCGAGCATTTGTATTCTGCTTTTGCTGTTTTATGCTGCCTCTTGGACAGGTACTTATCCTTATCTGATAAAGTACTGAATAAATAAATAAAATAAACAAGCAAGTGACACCAGTGAGCCAAATCACAGGTGGAGGGACGACCTTCTCACAGTAATAAAGCATTTTTTAAACTATATTAGTTTAGTTTAGGTTCTATATTATTGGAGTTTTAGCCATGTTAGAATGTTGTTACGTCATCAAAAACAGACCTGGAGTTGTGTTTTGTTTCATGCATACTTGTTTGAGTAACACTTTGTTATTAGTCTGTCTACATCTCCTAAGCTCAAAATGCTCTGTTCCACCTTGTGATGTCATGAACCGGTAGTTTTCAACTTAAAGGGACAATCTGAAATTTTGGATGCAGGACCTCGTTTCCTAGTGAGTCAGAGTGTTGGAGACGTGTGGAGACACTTTTTTAAAAATCTTGCATCCAGTCCTTGTATTTGCAGAGGTCGGTGGTGCTAGACTAGTGCATGTCAATGGCCATAGTTCTCCTGCCACTAAAAACAGTCTTACCCACTCCACAAAACACCCGAAACAAATCTATTATTACACCAGACTGTCCATGTAAATGTCTGTGTTGATAGAATAATATTTGAAATAAAACTAACCTTGCATCGCATGAATCGTTGCATACTGAGGGACTATTTTCTCATATATCAGTCCGCCGCTGCCGAGCTTTCTATCAGGAAGTACAACTCGCTGCTGCTGCTCAGACATACAGACATTCACATGGACAGTGTGGTGTAATAATAGATTTGTTTCGGGTGTTTTGTGGAGTGGGTAAGACTGTTTTTAGTGGCAGGATAACTATGGCCATTGACATGCACTAGCCTAGCACCAGCGACCTCTGCCATGGGTGTAGGTTTACATACGGACAGTGGGGATACATCACAATCAATATTTGGGGAAGACAAAATAGTCCCTACCAATATTTGCCATTTTATTTTAATAAACAATATATACATTTATTCAGATATTTTTCCAAACTCAGTAGTATTAATTGAACATGTCTGAGTTCACATTTTGTTTATTAGATGTTCTGAGATGTATTCAGTGATATGACGACAGGGTTACACCTGTCGCTGTTTCATTGGCTGCAACAGAGTGATGTCATTAGTGGAGCCAGGAGCCTAAACTGGGGAAGTGGCAGGACTGAAGATGGCAACTTGAACAGGCGTGAGTGAAGACGCTGCGCACCAAACTTTGAAAAACTTTACATCTTCAATTAAACTTGTCTTATAATGATTCACCGCGGGAAAAGAAACTCTCCACAAGTGCACCTCCCAAACGGTGCCCTACTCGTGCGCTGTGAGACCCCGACTCTACTGACAATATTCCATAGCAAAATATACACACATGACCTCACAAATATCTCATCACCAACAAGCAAAGAGAAATCTGCTACAGACTTCTACATCGCTGTTATCTGCTAAACAATCATCTCAGAAGGACAATGGACACAAACTGAAAAATGAAACCACCTCTCACTTATTTTGGACCTGCCCAGACTCCTACGCCCTTGACTTCTGCAAATACAAGGACTGGATGGATTTTTTTTTTTTTTAAGCATCCCCACACGTCTCCAACTCTCTGGCTCACTAGAAAATTAGGCCCTAAGTCCAAAATTCCGGACTGTCCCGTAAACAGCTCCTTTTACCTTTAATTCATTAGAGATCGGCAGTTCCAGGTCTGAAATCATCCAAATGACTCAAGTGAAGGTGTGTGGAGTTTAAAAACACTGTGGAGCACTTCCTGTATCACCACATGACATCACGAGGTGGAGTGTTTTCTGTTTGAGAGAAGAACTCAGCTTGAATATGCAGGATTTGTGCGTTAAACGTGTGAATGAAACAAAACACAACTCCGGGTGTGTTTGTGATGAGGAAACTGAACAAGAATAGTGTGATATACAGTAGGACCTTTAATGCCATACCGTGGAACATTCCAGGCCCCAAACTTATGCTCAGACCCTGTTCAAGCCTCGTTATTGATTAAAAAAAACACTAGAGATCCCAATTGGTCCTCACTTCTTCTGTAGAGCACTAATCCAGCCCCCCGCTGTGTAGTACTGTCACGCACGCACACTCCAGCGGCAGGAGCGTGCAGCAGGTCCAACCCAGGCTGCATCCCGAATGTCTAACGAGGCTACAACTGCGCAGCGTCATCACTATCACGTCGCGCGTCACCCTGGCATGCACACGCTCGGCCACACATACGTTCACAAACCGGAGGACGCGCTGGGTTAAATGGTTCCACATCAGACAGACCGCATCCCCACACGAGCCTGACCCCTGCTAATGCGCCTGTGCCCGGGAGGAGGAGGAGGGACGGGGACGGGGGGGGGCAGGGGGGCTCGGCGTGCACAGTGCTGGACAGCGGGGTGGGATTGCGCTGTAACACTCAAATAAATTAACTTGAACTTCGAACGGGCACACACGGACGAGCCATGGCGAGGTTCCTGTTTTCCCGCACATTTTCCTCACGGTGCAGCGCCGTGAGGATGCGGGCTGGTACTTACTGGCTTTGCCCGGCCGAGGTCTCTGTAGCAGCCGCTGGACGGTCAGTAAGTCCTCGGTCTTCACGGCCTGGAGCAGCTCCTGGTCCTTCCCCATGTCCCCTCCCGCTCCAGCCGCGTCCCGCCTCGGTCCAGTCGCTGTTCCTCGGAGCGCCCCTCGGTCCGGTTCGAGTGCACAGTTTAATCCGCTACATGGTTCCTCCTTGGCGGGCCTCCTCCTCCCGCTGCTCCCGCTGCTCCCGCTGCTGCTGCCGGGGTTCGGTTCACACAGCTACGGCGTCGGGATGCTCCGTGGCCGCGCGCAGACACTCGCGACACATCCCGTTTAATGCCGTCCGCGTGACAATTTCACCGGGTGTGCGCGTGCGTGGAGCGCGAGCCCCCTCCCTCCCCGACTCCCGTACGTCCGCACGGTCCCAGCCTCTGACGCTTCTCCGCGCGCGCTCAGGGACACGCGCGGCACGGGCGAGAATCACTCACGGCACCGCAATGACACGAGCTGCTGCTCCGCGCGTGCGTGTGCGTGCGTCCGTGCGTGTGCAGCTCCAGTTGTTTTAATCCCTGCGCGTGCGTGTGCCCGGTTTAGTCCACGCGCGCTCATAAGTCACCAGAGGTCGTTTGAACGCGCACTGACTTAGGACCAGGCCAGAAACGCACGTTTTATGGATTCATCTCGTGTCACGTGACCTCACACTGCAAAATAATGAGCCTATTAAATTCCACAACACTGATTTGAGTAGATCTAAGTTGTTTTTAATGGGCTACGGTAGATTCAGGCTAATAGAATGGAATATTTGTCCGTACAGGGGGACAACTGTATTTCCCATCCAACTGTCTTTATTATTCAGGTCTAAGGGCAAAAGAGGAATCCAATCAACTGTCAACTGGACACGTTCAACCTAAATAAACGTTTGTCCAGTCAGAACTGAAGAAGCAGTTTGGATGAGCTGCTAAACGTTTTTGACCTAAATAAATATTCGTCTAGTTGAGATACTGAATTTCTCCTTTGCCGTGGATTCTACCTGGACAACAGAGGGATTTTACACATTCAGGTCTAACACATTCTGTCTATGGCCTGAACAATATTACAAGTATGTCTAAATCCCAGTGAACATGTGTTGGTTTCTACAACGTTGGGGAAGGTTACGCCATCACCAAACCTTTAAAGAGTGTTGGTTACACACTAACCACCAGAAAACCATTCTGTTTGAAAGGACACTGTATATGCAATATGACTAGGGATGTAACAATAACCCAAATACTGAGATATCGTATCGTTAAAGTTCTCACAATAATATCATGGACCATCATAATATATCGAATTACAAGTCTCTTTGCTTAAATGAAGAGTTATGATGCAGCAATAGCTTAAAAAAAAAGACTACTAAGACCATGATCCTTTGCTCCATTCCAGTGCAGACTACAAGAAGAAATAACAATTCTAAGCACTTTTAAATCTTAGTTCTTTGGATTAAGTCTTGTCAAGGTATTTTAAGAGGAAAAAGTGTCATATTCACAGTTTTGTTCACCTCCACAAAATATCACAATAAATATCGTACCGTGAGATCTATATTGTGAAAATATTGTATCGAGAGATTTGGATATTGTTACATCTCTAATCGTGAGCCTCCACATCATATCGTGAGCTTTCCCACGATATCGCAATAAATATCGTACCGTGAGGTTCATACCGTGACAATATCATATCATGAGACTTGGATATCGTTACATCCCTAAATAAGGCTAGTCAGGCTGGCGCCACCTAGTGCCTCCCCTCAATTTCATTTCTTTTCAGCGACTAGGTCAGAAATCAAAATACACTTGATGATTTGCAAAAACCCCGCAAGTGCGAGTTCGGGCACCAGCCAATCAGCAAAGAGTCATACATTCAGTGTTGTCAACAGTTCCCAAGATCGAGGATTTAAAGCCGGAACAAAGAGAATGTTTGGTGAACTTTATCAAGGGGAAAGACGTTATTGTCCTTCTTCTTACAGGATTTGGGAAAAGTTTAATATACCAGTTAGTTCCATTAGTGGTGCATTACATACATCACAGCCAAATAGCAGTGATTGGTTAAATGATAAAAAGTACTCGCCTACCGTCGAGCAAACGAATTCTAATGCTGCGAGGTCAGATGGTTTGTACAGAGTGGAACTGACTGATGAATCAGGCTAAAATAGGGCTACTTAAAATCAAGATTTTTGATCTTAAAGGTTCTATAAAACACAAAATTGACTCCTGTGAGTGTTAAGTCATGTTAGAACAGGGCTCTTCAACCTGCAGCTCAGGAGCTAGACTTAAACTTAGACTGAGACTTAGACTGAGGCTGAGCTTTAGGTTTAGGCTTAGACTTAGACTGAGACTGAGACTGAGACTTAGACTTAGATTTAGGCTGAGACTGAGTCTTAGACTTAGACTTATGCCGGGCGTACACTGTGCGATATTTTCGGTCGTGTCACTCAGCCCTAGCTTAAACTGTACGACCAAATCACAGGGTTTAAAAGTTCACAGCTCACAAATCATGTTCTCACACTGAACGAACCGATGCTCGGATGTGACTTGCCTGCTCACACTGTACGTTCACATAACGACCGGAGTTGTCAAAGTTGTTGTTCTGGAAGTAGAAAACCACGAAGAAGAAAACCATGGAATTAGAAAACCACAGATGTGCGGAGACACAATGCTGAGCCACTTCTGTGTCCGCGCATGTGCAGTCTGCCAGATTCTGGCAAATCGGCTCGAGGAACAACTTCATCAGAGCGAAATCCTCACGAGAGGCGACTGGATTTCAAACAAGTTTGATTTTCTTGCGACCTATTAATGTCGATCGGGAGCTGGTCGTGAGTCATTAATCGGTTCTCTTTACCCCATGTAAACTACACGAAGCACGACACACGATGAAGCCAAAACTCGGCCCGATCCCCAAAACAGTCGCACGAGCGAAAAATCGGCTCGAAAAGGGTCAAAAATCGCACAGTGTACGTCCGGCATTAGGCTTAGGCTTAGATTTAGTCTTAGATTTAGGCTTAGATTTAGGCTTAGGCTTAGGCTGAGGTTGAGGCTTAGACTTAGACTTAGACTTAGACTTAGACTGAGACTTAGATTTAGACTTAGACTGAGACCGAGAATTAGACTTAGGCTGCGTTCAGACTGCAGCCTGAAGTGACCCAAATCCGATTTTTTGGCTTCTATGTGACCTGTATCTGATCTTTTAATGACAGTCTGAACAACACAGATCCAATTTTTTCAAATGCGACCCAGAACACTTGGATATGTGCTCCTGAAACCGATACATATCTGATCTTTTGACATGCAACTTCAGTCTGAACGGCCAAAGCGCATCCATCCGACCTACACGTCATCAACAAGACACAAACATCACTATTCTGCACTGAAGCAGGCGGAAACTGGAACTGTAAAATCTCCAGGTGCTCAATGCTCACGTCCATGTTTGGACAACTTCCGTAAACACAGAGCACGCTCACTGCGGTTGACGCATGGGGTTGATGTCATTGTGTCCTCCAGTGCACATGCGGGACACTTTTGGGCCGTTTACCGTTCACACAGGAGTCACAGACAAGTCGCATTTAATTGGAAACATGAACGACCTCACAAAAACATCGTATTTCACAAAAAAATCTGAATTGAGCATTAAGCCCTGCAGTCTGAACGTAGCCTTAGACTGAGACGGAGACTGAGACTTAGTCTCAGTCTCAGACTGAGTCTGAGACTGAGAATTAGACTTAGACTTACACTTAGACTTAGACAAACTTTATTGATCCACAAGGGAAATTATTTGGACCTACATGTAGCCAGTGCTGGGGAGTAACGGATTACATGTACCAGAGTTACGTAATCAGAGTACAAATTATGAGTAACTGTATTCAGTTACAGTTACTGTTTCCATGAGTGGTAATTGAATTACAGTTACTTTGTTGAAATAAATGGATTACGCAGCGGTATTTTCCTGTTTTCACATTTGGGGTTATATCCCCCCTTTTTTTTTCTTGGTAATTCCACTCATTCTCGGACTCTAAACCAGGTCTAAAACCAGGTCTAAACCAGGTCTAAACCAGGTCTAAACCAGGACTAAACTCAGGTCTAAAACCAGGACTAAATCAGGACTAAACCAGGTCTAAACCAGGACTAAACCAGGACTAAACAGGTCTAAAACAGGATTTAACAGGACTAAACCAGGACTAAACCAGGTCTAAAACAGGATTTAACAGGACTAAACCATGCTGCGTGGACCGTGTCTCCTCTTCTTCTATCAATAATATTTTTAATATGGTTAAGTAAAGACTCTGCCTTTTCATTTTCTTTTAGCAGAGAAAACATCTTATATGAAGATATCCTAGTCTTTGCTTGTCTACAGCAAATCAAGTAATCCAAAGTATTCAGATTACATTACTCACTTTAAGTAATTTAATGGATTATGTTACAAACTACATTTTGGGGGATGTAATCTGTAGGGGAATACAGTTTAAAAGTCACCTTCCCAACACTGGCTGTAGCTCTCCAACTCCTTCCAAGAAGCTCGCCAAGGGATTTCTGAATTCTACATACGGCGGTGAGTTACTCAGATTTGATCGATTAAAGGCCTATTTCCATTGTGCATAGGGTTAGGGTTATTAGGGAATCATTTTCATGCCTAAATTTGTGCACTAATAAATTGTTGTATGTTTTATTGGCATCTAACAGTACCTCATCTACAGCTTGCCATGACTTTTATATTTACTAAATTTCTGGAGACTGCTAAAATGAGAAGCTCTGTAGTATTTTCGTTTTACAAAAAGTAGCACACAGGAGGAAAAGGTTGGAGAACCCGTGTTCCCTCCTCAGAAACAGACCTGGAGTTGTGTTTTGTTTCATTCGCACATTTGAATAACCCTTTATTATTAGTGTGTCTACATCTCCAAAGCTCAAAATGCTCAGTTCCACCTTCAGCAGAGATCGTCAATTCCGGGACTAAAGTCTTCTAAATGATTCTAGTGAAGGTGTGTGAAGTAAATTTGCAGAGTTTGTGTGATAAACGTGTGAATGAAACAAAACACAACTCCAGGTCTGTTTGTGACGAGGAAACATTATAAAAGCGTAATATGAGCTCTTTAAAGTGAACTAATAATATTATTTAAGAAGTATTAAGAGTGCAGTAAGTACCATAACACACAGCCCTCTCCCTGGTGTTGTGCGTTAAAGGTTGTATGGAGGATTTTTTTTGTTTGTTTCAAATTGTCAGTGAAAGTTTAAAATACCATTAGAGACACAGCAGCCTTGTAATTATGATGACCAAAAAAAAAAACTAAGAATAAAAATCTATCAACCGTGGACGTAGTGAGGCCAGATAAACATCAGCCAATAGAAAACGAGGCTATCTCATTTTCTATTGGCTGTTAGGTTGTCAATCAAACTC